TCCTTAATTGTGTTGAAGACACACCTCCAGAGGAACCTGTTCTGGAGGAGATAGAGCCCACTACCTACCCCCAAGATTCCAACGTTCAAGAGTCTAAGGAGGAATCTATAGACGAAGAAATACCTAGCACAGAGGAACCAATAACGTCTATAGATAATCATGCTTCATCAGAAGACTTAGACCAAACTTTCTTTGACTCCCTACTTGACGGGTGTGACTTTGTCTGCCCGAAGGATAGTTGGAGCCAAAAGAGTTGGGATGAACTTCTGGTAAGTGACACTGAAGACTCATCCATGGGGGAAAGAACTGTCGTAATCATCAAACCACAAATGGATGGTCAGCCTGTTGAAGATAAGAAAAAAATCAATCTCGCTATGAAGGCCAATGATGTGGATCAACTGAGGAGACTTCCGCCACCACCCACCTATCTAGAGTCTCCTCCTTTTATCCTGTTGCCGCCAAGCCGCAGGGACGAGTCAAGGATCCTGGACCTTGACCGAGCAACAAATCAAACAAGGTGGAACCAGAAGAGAGTCAGAAGGGCCAAACTTTATGACTCTCGAATCGGAAGGTCGCGGAAAAAGTGGGTGAGCGTCAAGCTACGGACGTTAAAGAAGCGCTTAACGGGAGGCAACCCGTCATTCAGATAATTAAATTATTTAATATGCCTATTTATATGTTACTTGCCGCACCAGTAGGGGGCAAGATTTTACTCGTTTCACTTTTCTTTTCTACAGATGGATGTTGCCTGGATGATTCCGCATGGAAACCGCCGCACATTACAGAACCTGGAAGAGCTCCCCTTGCACTCAGAAGAAGCAAGGAAGAAGTTTCTCACTTGGGGGAACACGAAGATGCTCCAGCCTCCCATGGTGCTAGACCCTGCCTACCTGGATGAACTAGGGCACTGGCAGGACATCGACGAGTTTCTGTACAACCCAAAGTAGAGGATCTTGCTGTTCCTGCAAGCACCAGCAAGCCTGGAAGTCACCATTGAGTTTCTTTGCTCTCTCCGCTTCCTCAATAACGGAGAGGAAGTAAAGTCAACAGCTGAAGTCACCTCCACCACTAAGCTCACATTCACTCTGATGGGACGACTGCTGAACCTTACCGTGGCAGACTTAGGGTGGCTGATTGGTCTTTACACACTTGATGAAACGCGGAGCTTGGCCTTTTCTAATCTGCCCGACCAGTTGGATCCAGAGTTCGATGTTAAGAAACTCTGGCAAGCTCACGGGTATGGACGATTTCACAGTGGAGCAAGCATAGCTAGGAATTGGGTGTGTCCGTCTTGGAGAATTTTACACCATGCATTGACTCATAGCTATTTTGGCCGTTCTCATGACTCTGATGTGGAGTTTGATTCCGATATGCTATTTTTCTGGAGTCTGGAAGCGCGCGTACCAGTCAATCTAGCAACTTTTGTGGCTCGATTCCTATTTGCTCAGTCGACTAGCAACCACCAGTTTGTCTTGTGTGGACCAATGGTTACACTTCTGGCCCGGGGATTATGTATGACGGTCCCCAATGTCCTCCCAGAAGCCGCAAGCATGTTCCGACCGTCGACAAGGTATTTGACCCAGATCGCTTATAATAAAGAGGACAAGGAGGCACGCCCCAGAAAGCAGCATAGAATTCCCATGACCCTTCGCGAGCTTTCACAGGCTATGTTTGCATTCCAGGATTCTGTAGACTCTCGCCTAAGGAGCATGGAGACGCTCCTTCTCACACAGTAATGGCAGGTGGAGGAAATACTTGAATACACTCGGGAGCAAGAAACAAAGAAGGCTGAGCATGGGGCAGGTCCCAAACAAGGCAAACGTCAGTGTTAGAATAATAGACCAACGCTAGAGGGGGGGTGAATAGCGTTTGATCAAAAATCGCAGGAATAAAAAATGAATAAACGAGAAGTAAAGAGAAGAGTAAGAGGCACACCGATTTTACCCTGGTTCACCACAACTTGTGGCTAATCCAGCCTCCCGAGAGACTCTCTCGAGCTACACTACTATCTCGTTAAGCTTAACG